TGGATAGAAAATTGCGTTGCGCAAAATAGAATAATCCTCAGATATGTCAGAAATATAACACTAGTTTTCTTTCAGTTTGAATAAATTTGCATTTGCTTGTCTCCTTTATCAGGAGAGTTGCTCGTACATTTTCGTCTGGAAAACTGTTCTGCCGTCTTTTCAATTCCTGTTCTAGGTTAGTTTCCTTTATCGGTTCCATTCTTTCATAATGGGTCCGGTTGAGCGAGACGGAGGTTTTTTGCATGCTATGTAAAGACGAGGATGCAAGACTCGGAGAAAACCTTAAGGATTCCTGCAAGATACGCAGAGACGTTAATTTGGCAAAACCACACACCTAATCGACCTTAAGCGAGTCCGCAGTGCGCAGTTTCAGAGATTTTAAGCTTACCTCGAAGGTCTTACAGTGTTAGCGCACAGCGTTTTCCTGGCGACCTTACTGTCCTCGCCACTCACGGGGGTTCGTATTTACTACACCCCTCCCCCCAACTACCTTCCAGGTCCTTTAACAACCGTGGGTTCACACCATTTCCCGCGCCGACACTTCTCGTCAAACTATAGCACAAATAGCACAAATGCTACTTATTTTCTATGTGACGGGGTTCTCTCTGGCAGGTCCAGCGGCTTCCATGTTGCGAATGAAGACGGTGCCTGTTCACTGGCTTACTAGCTGACTATGTGGTTCATTGATGTTGAACGGTCTCTAATGGAGGCTGGTTATGAAATATGTGGATTCCAGTATCTGGTGACTAGGCATCATGACCCGTCAGTGACGGGGCCAACGAACTTCGAGTCGAAAACTTTTTTATTCTCCACCGCTGCTTTCCAGCCTGCATAACCCTCTGGAAGTCTAGTTGAAGTTACATGAACCTCAGAGCCTTGGAGACTGCTTCAAAATGCACTCTCAACTAGTATCACGCTTTCATTTAAGGATATGCAATAATAATTCTAAGTAGCAGAGAGATTGCGCCAATTTCACAGTCGATTTCTGAATCATTGGATGATCCCAGTCCCACAGAGTAATAAATTAAGTGCTCGGACTTTAAGCGTCGCTGGATGCTCGTTGCCAAAACGTAAACTTCTAGCAGACTATCTAGCCATCCTATAAGCCCGACAGAAGCTTTACCGTCCGTTATAATGGCAGCAGCATCCTCTAATCCGCGACCAAATCTTTCCAAGCTAAATCTCTGTGCTTCTGTCTTACCTGTGTATTTGCGGGCAAGTTATCGTGCCACAATCAAAGCGCGGGGCGTCCAATGAGGTGTCAGCAGGGAACGGTGAAGGAAGAGATTAATTGACTATTTACGTTACAGGACTGCACTTTATAATTCCCAGTCTGCTCCATAAACAAGACGTATGTTCCGGTGAATGTCGCTCCTCCCGATCCAGACACCGCGACCTTTGGCAGCCG